CTTGCCCGAAAAAGTGCGGGGGATGAATTTACATTATATTAAAAGTGGGGGGGACACATCCCCCGCGTCATCTACGCCCCTGATATCAATGGAATCATTTTCAGAATGACTTTTTCCAGCTGCTGAACGAAAAAAATATTGACAGCCAATTAGAATCCATCCTGATTTAAAGCGGCAAACAACATTAATGCATCACATCCTTATAAAGAAAATGTAAAAAATCCATTGGTGCGGATGCTAATAGTTAACAATCGTTATAGTTTTCGTTTTTTGTATGAACAGGCCTTTATGTTATGGCAGTAGTGAGGACTTCACTATTCTCATAGAACTAATTTCATCATAATTGCATACTTCTAGGATTATTTGAACTTTACATTTATTGTTATAGTTAACGTCTTTGGTGTGAATGAGCCTTTAATCTGCTTTCGGAGTCAGAAACATGTTTACGTAGATGGTAATCTAATCCATATTAAATATCATAAGATTAAAGGGACTGTACAAAGTTTGACCCATGTGTATTTCTTAAAGTTGTCATTCTCTTTCGTTTAGTCCTACCGCTAACAAAAACAAGATCAGAGAGGCACACAGAAAACTGATGATTTTAAACCATCCTGACCGAGGTGAGACTTCATGTTTCGTACAATGCAAAACATACAGAACTCTGCAGGATCTGAGTTCCTCTGAGCTGTCGGTGTTGTTTGTGTTTCTTTGGCAGGTGGATCCCCATATCTAGCGACAAAAATCAACGAGGCTAAAGATTTACTTGACGGACAGATGAAGAAATAGATCTTCATCAAATGTTTGAACGAGCCCTCTCTGATGCACTTGAATTCTTACTTGATCATTAAACACCATGCTGTCATCTGGATCTGATCTCCTTTGTATGAAAATGAATCAATTTACACCACAGCTGAATGTGGCAAAAATCAGATTCATTTCAATTGTTGCAAAATCTACATGGGGAATCTTTTGCCCTCATGCAAAATTCCCAACCACATGGTTGAAATGTTTGGATTTCGCCCATTCAGATTCACCAAATAACGTCAAACATTACCACACTTTTACACAAAGGAAAGCTGAAAGATTCAGAAGCCTTGTTTGGACAGGAAAGACCAAAAAACACTTGATACACCAACTATGAAAGGTTGGCTGGAAGATCAAATGTTTATTTATGAACTACCTGCATACAAAACATATTGCACATCAAACAACCAGAATGATCTTAAAAAAAACCCAAAAGGACTAACGAACGTAGTTTACAGAACAGAACATCTGGAAATTGATCTTTCAGTAGTCCAAATTTGTAATCTGCGTGCTAAGAAGTTCAGGCAGTTTAGTGTTAAAATCCACTGCGTTGTTAATTTTAAATACTGTACATTTTAAAATAAATAAACCAAAAAAAAAAAAAATTTCTCCTTTAGCGAAACAGTCTCGGTTGCCACCATAACAACCCAACAGGCAAAAGATGAAACCCAATTCAATCATTCAAGAAGTGTTGTGCATACAGCATTTAAAATGGACAGTTAGCAGACCAGTTTCCAGACTTTAACATTATTCTAAAGGTCAAGAAATGACTATTCAGTGCAAAACATCCTTTTTTCCCCATAACCCCTCGTGAAGAAGTGGTTGCATATTAAAACGTAACAAAAAGCAGCTAAGGATGTCTGGGAGTCTTTCTGTATTCAGAAATACAGAAAGTATTGTTCTGTTTGTTTGCTCTATAGCCAGCCAACAAAATGTTGAAACTACGCTCTGAAGGCACAGCATCCGATCAGGAATACAGGTGTGACGTAACGGGTTTTTTTTCGTCTCATAATTTTTTTTTTTTTTTTCCATTGTAATTATCTGTTCCATAGTGAAGGAACTGAAAAGTGCAATCGAGAATGTGGAAGTCCGTACGTCTATCTTTGGCAAGCTTGTACAAGCACTATTGTAAAATTGTAAAGGTTATGAGTTTGGAGAAATGAAGCGAACTGGTTAGGAGACTCCGTTGACGACGGCTGGCTTGGCTTTGGGTGTCTTCTCGGCGGAAGCTCGTGGCGCTCTGCTCTGATCGTCTGCTTTGGTGGAGCCGTTGCTCACGGCTTCAGTGGGGCTGTGCTCCGATATGAACTCCACTGGACCCTGTGGACGACGCAAAACAGCTGCGATTACAAGCAGAGCTCTTCACGCAGCTTTCATCTAAATACAACACCTTGAGTTTTCATGACTAGTCCAGTTGTTTGTGGTGATTACTGAAGATGGGTTTATAAAAAATGAAATACTTTAAAGCTGAGCAACATTTTTCAAGACTTTCCCAGCAAATATTTACAGGTTTCTGATGACTGAGGGAAACCTGTCTACATAGCTTCAGAGTAGAGATGCACCAATATTAAAAAAAACATATAATACAATTTTAGGCCACATTACAGTAGATAACTGATAAATAAGCGATATTATGAAACGAAACCACTTTGTTAAAAACTGAAATAAAATGGTTTGTATATGCTACAAGTTCATTCAGCCATTACTTTGGTATAATTGAGATACTATTTGTATTATTTTAAACTCAATACAATTGTTTTAAATTAGTTTTTATTTTTGTATTTTCCATTTTGACTTTTGACCGTTTTGGCATTTTATTATTATTATTAATTTTTAATATGTCTATATAGTTTTTTTATCATTATTATTAATTATTAATTTAGTGTTAGTACATCACGTTAACAAAATGAAAAATGCTGCCTTGGCAACAAACTGAAACAAAACATATATATATATATAAATAAAAAACATTTTTAGTTACAATTTATTATAAGTAACTTTTTGTTTGTTTGTTTTAGTTAACTAAATTAACCTTGATGACAACATGATAAAGTACTGCACGAAAAATTTATAAATATTCCTTTTGTCATTTTATTAGTGTTTTTTAATATGTCTATATAGTTTTTTATAAATGTTTAATTGTTTTAGTACATTAAGTTAACATTGAAAATGAGAAATGTTGTCTTGGCAACAAACTGAAACATTTTTTATATTTATTTATAAGTAAGAATTTTTTTGTTGTTTTAGTTAACTATAATAACCCTGATCACAAAATAATGCACTGCACAAAAAATGTATAAATATACAAATCAGCTATAGAAAAAACTAAATGTATGAATTGTAAAATAGGAGTTAAATAGTACATCTTTGCCACAATCACTTACTAATATGCAGAAACAATTAAATATCCATTATCGGCCGGAAAATATCCAATTAATATATATAAATATATATATATATATATATAAATATTTTATAATAAATGTCGATCATTATGATTAAATATCATAAATATTGTGCACCCCTGTTCCTCAATTTAAAACTAATCACAGAGATGGATAAAAGAAGGAATATAGAGTCACCATGTCCTTTTTGTTCTTCCTCAGATCTCTTGGGTTTCTCTGTCTGCTCTCAGATTCGGCTCGTGATATGTAGTCAGCCACAGTAACTGCAAGAGACATCGACGATTTCATTAGTAAAAGAGCTTTATAATTATAAAATGAGGGTGAAATAGCTTTGTGTGAGGAACAGACTAAAAGTTAAGCGCTGAAAATGTTCCTCTGGCGGAGCTCTCAAATCTTACGCTTCCATCTGGTTGCGGGACGCAGGAAAGCTTAAATCTGGAAGTTAACCATGATCCGATACGTGAAGTTCGAGTATGTGCACGGACAACAGAGATATGAGAGCTGCGGCGGAGAGGAAGATTCAGCTGGACGATCTCTCTGTTCAGGGTTCAGAATGACATTTCGGTAAATTAATATCACAATCCTGTAGGTAAACCACTCCTTTGAGGCAGAAGACCGACATGTGTTTACATAAACCATGCAGATCAATGCCTACAGCATTAAAAACAATGTTATTTGCAATTGTGAAACCACTGCACATTCAGAAGTTCCATCCAATTTTGGGATGTTATTTCATGCAGATGCCTGTTACAAATGTAACAAACCGCTGACAATAACTTTCCTCAAGAGAAAACTTCATTTATTTGCCACAGGATGCCGTTTGATCGTGTGGGTTTAGTTTGAAGTCCTGATGTTATTCCAGGCGGTCAGTGCCATGCATTTTGGATTAACACTCGCTTGAACACAAAGCCCGCGTTAATTCATAACTCGGTACCTGGCTGCCTCTCCTCAGGAGGCTGGAAACGGCGGCGGCGGCTACGATTGCGCCGCTGGGGTTTAGCTTCAGCATCATCTACAAGAGACCGGGAGACCTTAAATACTGACAGCCGTTTTGGAAAAAGCCTTTCGAGCAACTTGCAATTTGTGGAATTTGTCATGTTATCAACTAAGTCATATGAAAAAGTATTAAGGAGCACCTGACCCGATCAGGATACCCGTGTTTGCGCTCAGGGGAGCTTCAAAGGTTTCTATTTACAACGTGTTTTTGCAGCGTTGAGTAACGTATCAGACATATCTGTTGATTCCTTGAACACAATGCTAATCAGAATCCACTCACTGCTCGGGTTTTGTTCAGTGCTGAGTTCTGCAAGCTCACCAATCCTCTCATTATAACAAACAAAGTGTAGACAGGGTGTAAATACGAGATTCATTGTGCAGTGTAGGGCGCTTCGTTGATTATAGTGGAACTTTGTGAGATCACGATGAACTGAAGTGAGTGACAGCTTTTAATGATTATTAAGGGAGTTCTCAAATGTGATATTGATTTAATACAACAGTTCAATAAACAAGAAGTTAATATTAAGTGACTCGCATTGTCCGACTACAACACTATTGCCTGATTTTGCTCTATTTCGTCAACGGAAATAGTTTCAAACAAAGTCACAGCTGAGCCTCTGCGCATCTCCGAGCAAACACAGCGGTGTTTCGTTTATGAATGAACGAGCGTTTTTAAACGAATCTAGTGAGTCAATGATTCAATCACCTATTCATCACTTGCTCCGTTCCTGATGTACAGTTTGTACTTCTTTTCTGTAGTATTATTTATAATTATGTGGTTCTAAATAAACAACTGTTGGTTTTGCAATTTGTATATGTACTGCAGTTGACTTGATTTGGTTGAGTAAGATGCAGTGAAGCTCCTACTGATGTGCTTACCGAGACCGTTCTCGCTGAGGGAGGTGTTGTCGGACTCGCTCATGCCATCCATGACTGTGCTGTCTTCATCTGTGCGGCGACGACGGGAGCGCCTGCGACGGCTGCTGTTCATCTGGGACTCACTGGCATCTGTGTCCGCTGTCTGATCCGTCTCGGTGTCGTCCAGCAGACTATATGGGTTTCCATCGGGATCTTTCAAAACTGACACGAAAGACAAGAACTAAAATAAACCCTGTAAGATTTTTGTCGCTTCTGCTCACCAAGACTGCATTTACTTAATAAATAAAAAAAATACAGTAAATACAGTAATTTGTGAAATAGTATATTTTAAAATAGCTGTTTTCTATTCTAATATGTGACCCTGGACCACAAAACCAGTCATAAGGGTCAATTTTTCGAAATT